CAGCGAGGCTGAGCGCGGACGCCAAGGAGATTTGTAATGCCAGCGGCGTTTCCAGGTTCCTTTTCTTCCGCTTTGCTCTCATCCTGCTGTCGGATTTGAGATCATGTATGTGTTTTGCTGCTGATCGCGGGGGGGTGGGGTGTTAAAATCTGGGGAGGGAAGGGGATTCGGGAGGATTAATATATTAGTTCTGATTTGAGGGGTTTTTTTTATTTCTTTTGCTCTAACCGCTGCCCTCCGTCTTTGTTAACGCGGCTAGGTCTTCGTTGTTTTTATTTCAGGTCGGTTAACGTTGTAGCCTTTGGGAGTGAAAGGGACGGGTTTTCCGAGGACAGTCAGCGGCCGAGCCTGATCCGGAGCTATCTCGGGAGAAGCGCTCTGGTTTCCCAGATCGACAGCAGCTCGTCTGCCAGCCACGTCGGAAACCCAGTTTTTAACGAATACCAAGCCTGTGTGTTTGGAAATGTCAAACTGGTGGTTCACGACTGTCCTGTCTGGGTAAGGGATCGGTCTCAAACTTTTTGACTGCACTTAACAGTGTAAGCTGTTTTAATTAAATTAAAGTATATCCTAATTTTAAATTATTTTCACTATTGTAGGATTTCATTCATATTTTTCATTATTGCAAACAGTAAAAGCATATAAAATATATCCAGGCAAATGCTGCAAAGTCTTAAAGGTGCTACAGAAAGTTTCTGCCCACTTCCTCTGTAGGAAGGTGGTATTTTCAACTGTGCTGTTGACCGGAAGCTTCATTGAAGATAATCCAAAGGTAAACAAGAACCCCTTCTTTTTGACGCTGCATCGTAAGCGCTCTCTCCAAATATTTGCCAACAATAAAACAAAACTTTTTTTTTTTTCTGTAAAAATGGAAAGGCAGACAGTTTTCCAGCTTTGAAAAATGACAGATTTAATATTTTGCAAAATACAGCATATGGAGTCATTTTACTTCTGTTGTAATGAGTAATCACTTCTTAACATAATTTTCTTCAACTGAAGGTAAATAAAAAGGATTTTGGCACTGTTCCAGGTTGGAGGCACTTTTGTTAGTAAGTGAGATAACTGGGTTGTGAGTGTGAGCAGATCAATGATTATGTAAGAAATGATACTGATAATCTAAATTAAAATGTATTTAATGACCACTTAGCAGCCAAAAAAAAAAAAAAAAAAGCTTAGCAGCTTTTAGAAGTTAAAACAATAATCAGTTTCAGCTCCATAATTCTATTCTTGGGTTGATTTTTGTGGTCCTGTAAGGGAAACTTTTTTGGGGATCTGCAGGAATCCTGCCAGTTCCAGAAATACATGATCAGAAGTTTGCAAACTTAGAAGTGAATGATCCAGTTCACCTACCAACTGCTTTCTATTTCTCAAGCACTTTTGTCAGCAGCTATTACAGACAGTGGTTTGGATGGACTGGGGGGTCCTGTCTTCAGTCTCTGACTCCGCGTGTGACCTGCACGTGCAGTTTGCTGGAGTAATTGGAGCGCAGCGAGGGGTAAAAGCTCCTGAATATAAATTAAGGCTGTAGGATGTCAAAAGGGTCTTTCAGAGGACTGGAGACTGGTAAGGGAGGTGGGAAGGCGAGCAGGGATAGCTGGGGATGGGCAGGAGAAAGGACCTAGACTGAAGACACAATTCATGTGGTTTTGCGTTGTTTTATTTGCTTTTACTCTTCTACGAAACAAGGTTCTTCAGTTCTGGAGACCTTTCCATTTTTGCCCTTGAAAAGCCAGCTTGTTATTGTCTGCAGCAGTATGTTTCTGAGGCCTGTTGTTTTTTCCTTTCTCAGCTAAATGAGGCAGGAGATTTATTGCTGGGAATGATGAGGAACATTGCCTTTTTTTTTTGCTTAGTAGAAGACATCTCAGGCAGCTGGACTGGGCTCTGCAGGAGGTTGTTTGCTGTGAAGGAATCTGTCTCCCTCCTACAGTTAGGCAGAACAGGATTGCCTTCCATAGCCTAAGTGCTTGAGGTTTGCTATGTCACAGCAGTCCTTCAGGGCTCTTCCTCTGGTAGCCTGGGGAAATGATATATGACAATTACAAATATTGACTGACATTGCATTTTACCTGAGATTCGTGTCTTATATTGATCAAATCCATATGACTAAGGCAAGCCAGGACGAGACATAAACTTGGCAACTGGGTACACTGATAGTTGTGAGTCTGCAGACTCAAGGGTGCCCAGCTGCTCCCTGTCCTCCACATGGTTTCCTCCAGCTTTCAGTCTGGAAAAGCAGCATGGATGCAAATTCACCACGTAGGGCTCCCCAGCAAGGCGGGGGGGATCCTTTTGTGAGACAGATCATGATTCAAGGTGTTTCGGTCATTGCTGCATTGCTCGTGTTTCGGTCTGCTGCTGCACATGTCTGTTTACCCAGGACACTGCTCAACTCTCTGAGTCTGCAGGAGGGATCAACAGCTCGAGCGTCTTTGGTTGAACTCTTCCTGATGACATCATGATATTGAGTGTCTTACTCTGTACTCTATGTCTCTCTGAAAGGGCTGCAGCAAGGTTTTTCAGCAGCTGCCAAAGTGCTCATGCATGGATGGGCTGGAGAAACATGAAAGGTCTGGCCCACACAGTGAAGGCTGCCATGGTGGCATCACCCTGCTGGGCACGTGGTTGGTGAAAGAGCGGCAGTGCTGCTGTGAGAGTATATGGGGGATTGGACTAGATGATCCTTTGAGGTCCCTTCCAATCCCTAACATTCTGTGTGATTCTCGTGTTCTTGTGTTATCTGATCTAGGTGGTCCTGCTCCGGCAGGGGTATTGGACTAGATGATCCTTTGAGGTCCCTTCCAATCCCTAACACTGTGTGTTTCTTTGTATGGTATTCTGTTAATTGAGGGTGACCAAAGGTGGCTGCCAAACTGCAGAGACAGGAAAGCAAAGATAAAACAGTAGCAGCACGTTGTGAGATGCTGTTTCCTGTGGCGGTGGCAGGGAGCAGAATGGACATGCTGACTTTGAGGAGCGTGTTTTTCATTAACACAGATGGCACACGGTTGTAAAGATAGCAGTGGGGCATAGTCGAAATCTAGGGGTAAAATGTCACTGTTTCCAAAACCATGTTGACCTCTGTGTGTCCATCACTGGGTGTATCGCTGTGGCCCACTACGTCCTGCACTGCATTTGCGAAGCTGTGTGCTGGTGTCTCCCATGCACAGGGGACAGACACACTGGTGGACCCATGTCCGTGTGATTCCCGTGGCTGGAAAACGTTTTGACAAAAAATGCAGATCCAGGATGAAAGGGGGTATAAAGAGCCAGGGAAAACACACATGGGCACTGACATCTGTACTGAATATTGCGATTTAATAACAGATCAGTTGCTAATGCATGCTCGAGTTGTGCTCTCATAAAGCATGTTGAACTAGCATGTTCTAGTTTTTCTAGTTTTTTAGGGGGCAAACGTTTGTATGGGAGCTAGTAACTTAAAGGGAATAATTTACAAGATGAATTTTAAGATTCGCTTCACAAAAATTTGCTTTATTTAGCACTCTATATCAGATTTGGCAGTCTTCAGGACTGAGTTGCTCTTTTATTGTTTCACATGTCATTTGCAACTTCAGCCAATTGGTGCTGGATTTTGTTGCGCTTCTGCACAGGTGAAAACTGTAGAAAAAGTGCAGGCAAAGTTTGTCATGTGTCTTCAACTTCAGAATGAAGCGTAGCATAGGAGCTATAATTCATATCATGATTTGTTTAATTATGATACTGGGAAAGAAATGGCAGAATGAAAACTTCACTGAGAGTGTCCTGCTACCTGCGGTACCTCCCTTGGTCTTTCCTCTCTTGTTCGGAGCAGAACCATAAGGATACATGACTGTTTCGGTCCCGGCTGGGGGTCTTGCGGTCACTTACTTTTTTCCTCTGTGAGCCACCTAAGGTTTTTTTGTTTGTTTGTTTGTTTTTGGTGTGGTTTGTTTTGTTTTGGTTTTTTTTTACCTCCAGAAATACCTCCGTGTACCTGCTCAGAGGCTTGTGCAGAGCTGCAGACCTCCATGAGACTCCCTGGTGTTCAAATATTTTAAATGTGATTCTCAAAAAGTGCTCTGTGGTGGTTTTTTATTTTTTTGAATCTCTTTCAACAGCCTTTTTTCATGAGTCTTCTCATTTTTCTGTCTCCTTTTCTCCCGACACTGACAGTAGTAGTTCCTCAAACCCTGTAAGCTTTCTTCTCTCCATGGTATCATCCATGCTGTAGTTATCTGGCTTTTTCCCTGCAGAATCTTTGTGCTACTTTGTGTTGTCTGGCCCCTAACTGAAGGCAAAGGAATCTGATCCACTTTTTAATCTTACTTTAGAAATCCAGTCATATTACTGCTTCAGTGCAAAAGCATAGTTTGCAACTTTTCATTTTTTAGTTTGTTATCCTTTTTAAGCTGGTCATTCTCAAGTTTGGGGCAGTTTACAACAGGTGATCATATCCTGGTAGTTTATTTTCCCTACTGTGTTCTTTATTTTTGCTTTTTACAAATATTATTAAATTACTTTGTGAGAGGACAACACAGGACAATGTTAGCTTTCATAGTTTGTTTTTTTTTTTTTTTTAGGGGGAGGTGGGGGCCAGCTCAACCATTTAAAGCTGTTTTGGAAAGCCTTGACTGAAAAACAAAAGTGGCATTCTGGGGTCATGGTCTGAATTCCCTTGATTTCTGAAGAAGATACTTCCTCCTATGCTACCTGTCACTCAGCTGAGTAAGCTCAGTAGCTTACTACTAGTAAGCTTACTTATAGTAGCTTACAGAGGGCGCATCTGCAAAATTTTGCTCTGCTGTGGACCTGAAGGATTAGAAATTGCAGAGAAACCTTGAAAAAATGGGGAAGGCTCTGGGAAAGAAGGATCTGTTAATGGAGGGTGGGTCTGTAAACGCATCCTTAGAGAGAGATGAAGTTTCCAGTATTCTCAGTGCAGCCCCCTTGAATGCCTGGGAAATCCCAGGGGAATGGTCCTTGGGGGTGGCCAGACTTCCTTGTCCCCTCGGAAAGCCTTTGCTGCTGCTACTGCCCCAGACCAAGGGCCGGGCTGGGTGGGCATGGGGACATCTATGAGCAGCTTTCAGAAAGTGTGGGCATTGCAGGGGCACAGTGGATTTCACCGCCATTCCATAAAGGCATTCATAAATTATTTTTAACAAAGCAAGTATTGTCCTCTTGAGGGGTCATGTGATTTCGTAGGAAAATCAGGTCTTCATGGCCTCTGAAGGCTTTGTTTTCAATGCTAGTGCTTGAGAAGTAGGTTCACTAATGAGAAGAATATATTATGAGATGTGTATAATGGAGACATGCAAGGAAAGACTGAAGCTTTTTTCTAATAAGTCCTGCTAGCAGTAGCGATAGGAGTGTAATTATAATTAATAAGGTCATATAATAATAACCTTAGCTATGCAGTTACTTTTTCCTTTTGTCAATAGCTGTCTTGGGAAATGACAAGTGCAGGAAGTTGTTACGTAGCGATGAGGAGCAGCTGCTACGTAAATTTTATAAATGGAGCCTTGAATTACCATTATTCCCGAATCTGAACTGTCGTTCTTCATCTAAAGAAATTCCCTCTGTCATTTTCATATGAAAGCTTCCCTAAAAATGATCATCAAGGAGTCTCCAGTGCTGTCTCAGTGATGCCTCAGGCAAATAACCCTTTGCTGTTAGACACATTTTTAGAGGATTTTCCCAGCACAGAGCAGCAAACTGAGCAGCCTATGCTACGCGTGATGCAAAATAGAAATAATTGCAACAAGACCTCTGGAAATGTGTCTTTCTCCTGTTTTTAAATGCAACATCCGTCTTCAAGCATGGACTTTAAGGGTTGTTTAATCAATTATGTGAGGGTGTAGGGAAACTGCACAGTAGTAACAAAAATCGGGTGTTTTGAGACATTGGGTCAGCACATTCTGCGTTTTTCACTTCTTGATGTACCTGTGAAAGTGGGGTCCATCCTCACCAGAACTGCATAAACTTTGACAAAATCCTTCTGGGTGGGATTAACTGAGACACATGGTTGTGGCACGGACCTCCACAAACCTGGTGCAAGGTGCAGCCTTACACGCCTGGGAAGCTGTTACAGCCTGCACCACATTTCCATAGGATTTCTTTCCCCTGACATTAAACAAAGAGGTGCATTCACACACCTGTGAGGCTGTTTTCCGTAAGGATTTTTCTAGTTTTCCCCACACCTGCAGAGATGGAAATACAGCAAGTTGGGCTAAGTTCAAAAAGGGTAGGGGAGTCATATGAGGTAATGGCCATACTTTCTTTTTGTTATTGTTTTGTTTTCCAAGATGTAACTGCTTTTCTTATTAGTATTATTTTCACTAGGGAAAAAAAACCCTCTCTGTTGTTTTTTTTGTTTGTTTGTTTGGGTTTTTTTTATATGATATTGACCTCTTAAGCCACTGTTTTGTTATATGCATGAGCATATTTGTACAGACAAAGACAAGTCTACTTCAACATCATCTGTTGAGATTCCCACCAGCAAGAAGAGAATTAGACCTGCCTCTGGTTGAGGTTAGGGCATGGAAGGGTCTTCCAGGCTAGACAATGCTCTCCTTGGAGAGGCAGGATGAGGGCTGGGGCCAGAGCAAGAGTGCGTGTCTGGGTGTGTACTTGATACCTGGTGTCCCGTCCTCTGCTGCTGGTGGGGCTGAGGTCGGGATGGAGCCACAGCTCGGTGCACTTTGGTGTCTAGAAGCACTGTCCTCTGCTGTAGGTCAGGACTAGGTTTATGCTGAAGATAAACACAAGAGTTAAAGTCAGTTCTTTACTTGGGCATCGCTGTGTTCATATTGACCAAAACTTAAGAGATCTTCCTAAAATCTTTCTGATTTGTAACATGAAAGGGTGTCCTAATGCACTGGAGATTTAGCTCTGTTGTAAAATGGAGGGAGCTACAAACCATATACAAATATATCACTACATGTGAACAATACGTATTATATTCTGTAAGAAGTTTCCTTAAGCATTTGTTATTATTAATGTTTAAAGCTGTGATGAAGTTCTTGTATGTTTGTGCACCTGTGCTCTAGACTTCGTTGGTGATACTGCAGCTCATGGAGATGGGCATGTGCAAACCTGGGCTGAGCTTGAAAACAGGCAGCCAGAAGGAAATTGCAAAGGAACAAGCATGCTTTCTGTCTGCCAGCATAGAACAACTGAAAATTCAATATTATTTTTTGGTTTGTATTGTATGTTTTTCTTAAACTTTCGTCGTGTTAAATATATACAACCCTACTAAAATTTCTAGGTTGAGGTCTTTGTTGACTAAAATGTATCAAAGCTGTCCCTTGAAAATTGTCAATTTTTGCCTGACTATATGATCGGGTTCTGCGACTGCCCATCTAGCTGGAAGTCTCAAAGCACTATAACAGGTAGTCTTACTGCTGGAGGTGCTAAACGTGTTTTTATGTATTAACTTTATATTCTTAACACAGCCTAAATGACTCTGTTAAATGTTGGTAGGGGTTTTCCTTAGCCTGAGATTATTATAGTCTCTAACAGAGTTGACTGAAAAAATAAATACCAAGAGCAGTGTTCTCAAAGTTCTTGTCAACAAGGTGAATCATACAGCTGTGCTTGATTATTTGCTAACTGTCTGTGGTTTTCTTATCACAGAACAAGGATACCTATTAAAGACAATAATGGAAATGCCTATTATACTTTATTTATCTACTTATTTCTTTGTAAAGACAAGACCTAAATTGGGTATGATATGCACTGACAGCCTAGGCAAATTTTTGCTGATGACATGACTTCTGCAAGTTCATGCTGTCTCTTGTACTTAAGAGTATTGCAGCTACTTTACCAGAGATTTGAAACAATGACTCTTTTGAAGTGATCAAAAGTAGTTATGTTGACATTTGTTGATATTAATAATATTTTATATATTTCTCTGATTCCCATCTGTAATGCTCTTATTTCTGTGTCTTGTTCTTCAAAAATCACATTGACTATCCGCAACCCAAACTGGGTCTCTTTTGTCACTTCTTCTGTGCTCACATACTCCTCTCTTCCACATCATCTTTGTTTCATCATTGCTTATTTCTGTTTGGGTTTTTTTTTTCAAGATCTCAAGTTCTTCTAGCTTTGCCTTGTGTTGTACGGGACTGTTATAGAATCACAGAATGGTTTGGTTTGGAAGGGACCTTCAAAGACCATCTCGTCCACCACCCTGCCATGAGCAGGGACATCTTTCATTAGATAGGTTGCTCAAAGACCTGTGCAGCCTGACCTTGAATGTTTCCAGGGATGGGGCATCCACAACTTCTCTGGGCAACCTGTTCCAGTGTCTCACCACCCTCATAAAATTTTTTTTTTCCTTATGTCCAGTCTAAACTTTTTTCAGTTTAAAACCCTTGTCCCTTGTCCTGTCACTACAGGCCCTTGTAAAAAGTCTCTCTCCAGCTTTCTTACAAGCCCACTTTAAGTATTGGGAAAGCCGCAGTAATGTCTGTCTGTTCCAAGACATCATAGTATTTTATTTTTTTTCAGTTGATTTTCAGTTCTCTGGACCTGTTTGAGATTTCTGTAAAGAGTTTTCAATTGACCATATGTGCAGAGACTTGGCTTTTCTCGGTGTTCATGAGCAGGTAAAGCAGGACACAAAGCAGAAATTGTGAAATTATAGTTCTCATGACAACTAAGCAAGTAATAACTGTATATTAGATGTGGATACAGCACAGTTTTAAATTAACAGGATACAAAATAATTTTAGAGTGTAAGACTTACATATATAGCACAGAACAATGACAAATTGAATGTGAAGTCAAAAAAAGAAAGTTTAGTTGTGTGATTAAAAGCCTTATCCTGAAGACATTTACACTTGTGGGAGGTACATGGAAGCTCTTGTGAAGCAGATGAAAATCACACCCAGCTGGTGAAACTTGTGCTTAAAGGTTCATAGGTACATTGCATAGTTCTGCGTAGCGCTTTCCCTAAAACGTTGTGATAAATAATGATTTTGTATGAATTGCTGCAAACTTGTACTGCTGAAGCTGTTTTTATTTCCTTAATGAAAACATTTGAAAGTTAAGTAATTAAACCAGTAAAGCTTCTTCCTGCAAAGCATATTCCTAGAAAACCCTATTTTTTCTTCTTCCTGAAGAATTCCTGAAGTCATAAAAGAAATTTATTGTTTATTATAACGAACAATTTGTTCTCCAAACAAGGAAATTACAAAGCATGAGTTCTGCTCTTTGTTGTAAAATCTTCAAATGGGAGATCAAGTCACCAGTTAAAAATTCTTTTGTAAGGTTTTGCATTAAGACCGTTGAATAGTTCACCTTTTCCTTTATAGACAGGAAATTCTTGATCAGTTTTTTTTTTATGTTTAGGATTTATTTGACAGCGACTGGTACACCTCTCGCAGTCTCATTGGAGGAGCTGATATTATTGTGATTAAATACTCTGTGAATGACAAGACCTCATTTCAAGAAGTAAAGGACAGTTATGTCCCAATGATTAAAAAAGCGTTAAACCACTGTTCGGTTCCAGTAATAATTTCTGCTCTCGGCGCAAGAAAAAACGGTATGTATCTGGTCTCCTGTAGTAATAGTTAAAATCTCACTTGGAAGTTAGAGGTGCTGTAATTTCAGCAGAAGCTGGTTGTATTTCCAAGTCGTTAACAGAAACAATTAGTCTGTCAGGATGACAGTAATATGTGCATGTAGGATGGCTCTGTAGGCTGGTGTATTGGCAAGAACATTATGCTTAATTAACCCTGGCGATGAAAGGCGTCCTATCCTGCTTTGACCTCTGCAACAGCCCTTCTCATGGAGTCACCACAGGCTGGGATTAAATCTAGTGCTTTGGGTTAAGCAGCATGCATCTGAGTGTACGAGGTGGACCCTGCAGTCATGAGTTCTGTCCGGTCATCTCTCAGGTATAAAATATCTCTCGTGTGTGATTAGCTTGCAGCCTCTGGAGAGGGGGTGGGAAAACTTTGAGATTCTCCCGAATGTCACCGGATGAACGGACACACCAGTCCTTTGGGTACCACAAAGTGCCACATGCTGCCGTGTTGGCAGAGCTGACCTGTCACAGCAGAGCAGCTGTGGTACAGCTGTGGGACAGCTGTGGGATAGCTGTGGTGTAGCTGTGGGATAGCTATGGGATAGCTCCTGTGTTTTCGTGATGCCCTGTCCAGGCTGATCAGTAGTCTGCTACGAGAACTGTGCAAATCGATTTTACACGAAATATTTAAAGTTGTTGCTGTAGGATCAATATGAAATCACAGTCGCACCAGTGCGGAGCTGCGGGTGCGCAGCAGCCGATGGGGGCCATGGGCTGAGAACACCTTCAGGTTTGGGCAGACTTTAGTAACTCCTGCCTGTTTACACCGGGGAAATAAAGTCCAGAAAGAACACCTCAGAAACCATGACAACAAACACGCAAACTATATTCTGTATTTCCAAATATTTTGCAATGTGCTTTTGTTGGTTTTAGTATGGTCTATTTAGTCCTGGGACCTGATTTTAAAAACTTTTTTTCCTAAAGCAGTGAATGTAAAACTTGAGCCTGTGAGTTGTCTTTTTACTTTACAAATTTGACTAAAACAAGTGTTTTTGAGCATCTCTCCTGCTGTGAGTAAGGGGTGTGATGGATGTAGAGGTAGATACTTATTTTATAATGTACAAAGAAATAGTAAGCTCTATGAAGTGTGTCTTCTGTGGACATAACGCTTAGTTTTGCCAGTGTCTACTTATATATCTTTTTGCTCAGTGATTGAGAAAGGACTGTTAAAGAACTCTATAATAATAATTAAATCCTTTTTTTCCTCCCTTTAGTAATTCATTGATAATGATCAGAAGTTTTTATGCTCTGATTTATTATACAGGGGTTATAAATCTGCTGTTCTAAAGGCAAGGTCTTGCTAAACTGATGTGTGCATTCCCAACATCTTTTCTTACACTTTTTATATAAGCAAAGGACACCATCAGTCTGCGTGACTCCACTACTGGCTTTTTTCTTTTCCACTTTTTTTTTTTTTCCTGTCTTCCTCCCTAAATAATGTGACTATGGGATAAGTCAGGCTCTCCAGCCACAGTTTCGCTTCGGGACCTGCCAGAGCAGACTGCTGTGCAGACACAGAGCCCTTTTGTTTCTAGGAGGTATGTGTGAACACAGCAGTTTGCTCATACAAATTAGTAAGATCTTAATCCTCTGTAGTAGCAAATAGTGCTGCCAAAATAAATTAAAAAAGAGCTGTGTTATTACATGTTATCCATAGGTCTGAGCAGAAGAAATTAATGTAGAGCATGCATGGCACGTTTGGAAGCACATCCGTGGCCGCTTACTGGCATTAAGCAAAATTGACCCAGGGTGGCTGGTAGATTTTTGTCAGTTAACTGACGTAATATTCAAAACCATCTATTTTGGCTTGGGAAAAATTATGCAAAACATGTAATTATATCGTGTTCATACATACACACATCATGTACGTAACAGCCGGGACTGCAGGGGAAAATTTCCCCTTCCATTACTGTGTATGCTTCCTGCGTGGACAGGCCACAATAATTAAACAAGCTTAAGGGTGACGTTAGTGAATGGTAACACCTGCAGCTCATACAATACTGTGTGTATAAAAATACTGAGGCCCTAAGCCAAACCCAGCTTCTGGAAGTCCCTCTTGACTTTTTTGCCTTAAAAACACTTAATGGAAATTAATGGCAATTAAATGTAAGCTGAGTTTGGTATAGTAGCTAATATTTTGAACTGATTGATTAGAAGGTGTGGGTTTTTTTTGCAGTAATTATAGCTTCTTACTCTAAAATGACGATGATTCCATTTCCCTTTTTGTTCTTTTCTCAATAATACCTCTTTACAATTATTTAGGAAGCTAAATATTCTGGATTATGTGACAGAAATGGCTTCTTTGCATGACTTTTTACCCCAGGAGTGCCTTGCACCTGCCCCCTGTGCACGTCAGACAGGAGGAACTGTGTCACCACCTCCGAGGGAATTCAGCTTGCCAAGGAACTGGGAGCCACTTACCTCGAACTGCACACTCTTAACGACTTCTACATCCAGAAGTACTTTGGAGGAGTGGTGAGTGAGAAGCCACTGGGTTGAACACAGGGTGGCACATGCGGGAGGTGCGTGGCCAGTCATCAAGGCTTTGGAGAGAGAGCAGAGGCACACCACGAGTCCTCCTGCTGAGGCTGAATTCCCACCGATGATAGACTTGGGTCAGAGACAAGCAGAAAATTCTTCCCTCTGAGGGTGGTGAGGCACTGGAACAGGTTTCCCAGAGAAGCTGTGGCTGCCCCATCCCTGGGAGTGTTCAAGGCCAAGTTGGATGGGGCTTTGAGCAACCTGGTGTACTGGAAGGTGTCCCTGTCCATGGCAGGGGGGTTGGAACTAGATGGTCTTGAAGGTCCTTTCCAACCCAAACCATTCTGGGATTCTGTGAATCTAGCCTAATTGTCAGTACTGAGGTTGCTCCAGTTTTAACTGCCTTCTAAGAAGTTTTAGGAAAGTCATAATACATACTGAAAGAATTCCACCCCCCCCATTCCCCCCCAGTTCCTGTTCTTCTATCTTAATGGGACGGGATAATCAAAACCCAGCTGGACGAGCCACTCGACAACCCCATCCCACTTTAAAGATGAGTCCTGTTTTGAGCAGATGCCTTAGGTGGGTGACCTCCACAGGTCCCTTCCAAGCTGAATTATTCACTGATATTCCAATATTTTTATTTTTAGTAGCTCAAATGCTCATAGCTGTTCTACTTGTAAAGTGAGACAGGTAGGATTGTTGAATTGCTGGGTTTTTAGTGTATTCTTGTGATCCCTCAGTTTGCAGTTGTGACACAGTTTGCAATCCTGAGCAGAGCCTGGGGTCAGCTGCAGCAAAGCTGAGCAAGGCAGAAACTGAGAAGCTTGTTAAAATGTCCCACCTTTAATGAGCTTTTTCTTTTTCCACTCTCCCAAAGACAGGGAAGCACACCGTGCAATTTCCAAATACAGTCTTTCAGACTTATTTTTCTTCTCCACAAAATTATTTCACACTGGTATTTCATTTTCAGTTTTACGAGGTGTTTTAAGCTCAGCCTTTTTTTGAACCTTTTGTTTTACTTTCGCAGTGGCATTTGAGCTTGAACAAAAAAATGCAGTTTTTCAGCACAGTAATTTCACATGGCCTGAGCTTCTGTTGTCCGTGGAGTGTGAGTACAGTGTGCTGCCATGGGACTTGATAATAAATTGGAATATCTGGCATGACAGTTAGCCAATTTTTATTGGATGCCTTCATTCCCAATTAAAAATGAGAAATCCACTCAGCATCTGGTCCAGCCGGAGTATTTTTCTAGTTTTTAGAAAGCACTGTATGTTCTGCAGTTGAACCTCGGGTGATAAAAGTGTTTAAGACATGCGTTAACTCAAACTGACCCACTTTTGCGCCTCTTCATTCCTGTAAAATGGACCATTTCCCCTCAGGAACATCTTTATCACAGTGATGATGCTTGTGGTCTGTCCCAGCGAAACAAACTTTGGCCGTAAAGATGACACTGTAGTGTGACTGTCTCAGAGGACACGGTAGCGTTGCGATTGGTGGTGGTGATTAGCTGTATGGTTCTGTGACTTCCGTCACTTGGACCTGATCGTTATTCATCTAGTCTTATTAATTATTATTATTATTAGTTATTATTATTCTCATTAATTCTGTAATTAACATCTACGGAAGTCAGTGAATTGAGTATCTTTGTGTCTAGCATTGCTGGGAAGATTAAATACAAGAGAATTACCACTATCATTTGAATAAATAGCCTTTTAAATCATGCTAATTCCAACTACGTTTGGTACCTGTGCCTGCCAAAGGGGGCTGGGACTCTCCTGGATCATTGTCCGTAGTGGCAGTAACCTCAGTCCTGCACACAGCACTCGCTCGTTCCCCTTATTTTGATGTCTACGTTGTTCTTAAATAACTGGGATTTTTTAAAAGTGCATTTTGTCTTTTAGCTGGAATATTTCATGATCCAGACGTTGAATCAGAAGTCATCTGCAAAAATGAAGAAAAGGGAGAAGACACAGAAGCGCCGTCGAGTTCAGCCCCCTCAGCTTGAACAGCCAGGTGCTCGCTGGCGTCTGGTCTCTGGTGTCGTTCGTTATGCGTGTCATGTCCTTTGTGCAATTAACGTGTTGTAATCGTTACTGTCAGCTGTGCTGTCATCAGCTATTCCGGTTATGTTGCTCTAGTGGCATCATCTTTTAGTGATGATTTCATTAATTTGGAAAGAACTATATAACGCTATGTAGCATTGCAACGGATTTTTAATTTATTTTAGACAAAAATAATGGGATTGGTTTTCAGGTGCACTTGATGAAATAATGCAGTTAACACTTGCTTCGGTTCTACAGCCCGGCTCGTTGTCTTTCGCAGAAAAAATGCCGATCTTAAAGGGCGAAGCATCACACTACGACGCGGACCTGCACAACCTGCTCTGCTGCTGCCAGTGCGCGGACGTGGCGTTCTACCCTGAGGACCTCAGCACGGTGGTGGAGGCTCACAAGATCATCCTCTGCTCTGTCAGCCACCTCTTCATGCTGCTCTTCGAGGTGAAGAGCCCCACCGACATCCGCGACGCCTCCATCGTGCAGATGGCGCAGAGCCTCTTCGCGGTGGAGGCAGGGGCCACCTTTTCCCCGCTGCCCCGCAGCGTCCCGCCCTGCGTCCCACCAGTGAAGGTGGTGGTGAAGGACTCTGTCTTCTGCTCTTGTCTCCCAGACATCCTCCACTTCATTTACTCAGGTACCCCCGGGAATAAGTCCGGCTACTCATTTCCATTACAGCTGATGTCTCATGAAGGAGCATGTGCATCAATGCATCACCCTAAGGAACATGCCTTTGCTGTTGGGTATGATGTTCCACCATGTTGCTACATCTGGAACGGGTTGCCCAGAGAAGCTGTGCCTGCCCCATCCCTGGAAGGCAGGGGTTGGATAAGGCTTTGAGCAACCTGATGTAGTGGAGGGTATGCCTGCCCATGGCAGCGGGGTTCGAACTGGATGGTCTTTGATGTCCCTTCCAACCCAAACCATTCTATGATTCTGTGATCCCTTGTGATCACTACAAACAATGTCTATATGAAAAAAACCCTTTGCCTAGCTTTAATAAAACTAAATTCGTTGTCATTCCACATCTAATGAAGGTCAGTTAAATGCAATATTTTACTGAACAGGGTTGGTAAGTTAAGATCAAGAATATTCAAAAGCTTTGCCAAAAAATTCTAGAGTTTGGGACAGTTTCAGGTTTTAGGCTTTTGAAATATTTAAAATGGTTAAAAGTTCTGAACACATTGATGAGAGTGCAGGGTGACTTAAGGAAAACTCAAGTGATTTCTCTTCTGGGTATGGTGCTGGTACCATAAAAACACTGGTAACTGGTTGGAGTGCAGGGAACGCTGATATGTTGCATGTGTTCTGCTACCAACTCAGTACAGGCAGTGACCTCACCTACCTAATCCCAGCTGTCTATTAAAATGACACTGATATTTTTCTAAGTGTTGCTTGGGAATCCTCAGGTGAAAGAAAATTTTTTTTTTTCTGGAAGTACCTGATACCCGTTATTCTCTACAAAATATTTTACAAGATGTCAGAACATGAGAGTGTAGATTTTATATTTGTTGAAAGATTTAGCAAACTTTTTAATGATGCATTCTGATTTTAACTGTAATTTAAAAAAAGCCTCAAATAATTATATTGTTAGAGCTGCATCTGTAAAGAAGCTTAGTCAATCTCTGTAGACCGATACCTGCCTGACATATGAAAAGGTTTTCTGCCTTAGCAGCTGAGACATGAAGACTGGCTTGTGTAGACACAAGGGAGACTCTTCCAGCTTTCAGTTAGAGATTGTACACTGAAAATACCCCTTTCGGTTCTTCCCAAACCATAAAGAACAGAGGCATAAGTTTTCCAGTGTGAACAGACTGATTTTTTTATCTATTCGTGACATCAATAGGGGACGAAACCTCAAATTTCAGCAGGTGAGAGATAAATGTGTCTGCTGCCTTCTGTGTATTAATTTTACTTTTGCTTATGTCAGCAAAAGAGATGGGGAACTTTGTACCTTTGTAGATTAAACTCTGCTGTAAGTCTCAGCTCCCAACCCAAAGGGCATTGCCAAAAGTCATTGCACTGTTGGGTGCCTTTGAGAGATGGAGAGGTCTTTCAAAGGTGTTTAAGGCACTGGCTGAGAATAGATCAGATCATGAGGCAATGTCATCGTTTTCAGCTTTTCAGGACTGTGACATTATGCCCATGAGGTTACAAAGATTTACCATCCATACGGTATACGTAGGAGCTGATAGACCTGAAGATGCCGTAGGCTGTATGTGCCATTTCAGCCTTTTCTGCAGCAGAGTGCCTTCAGGGCTGTGCTGACTTGTCTTTATCTGTCTCTGACTCTTCCATGCTGCATGGCCTTGGGAATCAGAGCTGAAAGTTACCAAAAAGCCCCATGGTGTCTTTGAGACTTAACTCCAGCCAAGTGTATAGGGAAAAATGATGTTTGTTTTAATGCCGGTCAACATTTCTATTTTTTTTTCTGAGAACACTGTTGAGAGACCTAAGAGAATATAATGGCTTTGACTCTGAAAACAAGAAAAAAAAAGAAATTTCACTGCAAACTTTGTTCTGGTTTTAGCTATTGGTATTCAGAATATATCTGTGTGCAAAGTTTTTCTGGTTCAGACAACTGTAAAGCAATGCAACCAGCAATATGAGCAGAAGCTAAAGAACTTCTATGAATATTGAAACATGCAGGAATTTTTTCTGAATTCCTACCTGCAATATGTAGTGATTGAACTGGAATGAATCCAGAAATTGCCTTTGAAAACAAGAGAGATGCCCTGATCTGCCTGTACTTGATTGCATTTATGTAAAAGTACCATGGAAGTTTTATTGTGCAAGAATTGGGTCTTGCTCTCACTAAGCACAAAAATCTGGCTGATCTATGTGCAAAAAATATCGTTTCCGCAGGGTCTGTTTGGCATTGATATCATCTTTTCTCTGCCTACTAAGGCCTGCGCCTCGTTGATTTGTAATTCAGCTTTACCCGGTCTCATGGCAGGTGCTTTCCAGTGGGAACAATTAGAAGAGGACATAAAAAAGAAGTTGAGGGATCCAGAAAAAACTGAACATGTGCTTGAGAAAGTTAAATGTATCCTGAAAACTCCAGGAAAGGTACATCTAACTCTCTTGGGGTAACTGTTAGTATTAGTTACTTAAGTTCTTGAGAAATTGTTTTGTAGACAAGATTTCCTTGCCAGTCTTTGTTTTAAACTCACTTTGTCTTACACAGCCTTTATTACTTAATCAGTGGCTTGCTCACAGGCATGTACAAAATAGAAACACAGAGATGCTGATCTAATGTGCAGAACTAGTGTAATCAGTAAAAAGTGCACAAGTAGGTATCCTAAAAAGATTACTCATACTCACAGCTTTGCACATTGTCTAACGATATGATTATGTGTTCCTGATTCTCATGTAATAGAAGCTTTGCTTTCCTGAATATGTGCCAAAAGTCATGTTTGTGCAGTAATTCAAGAGACTTGATTTCTCTCTTAAGTGTTGTGATGTAGAAATCTGTGTATAGCTCAATATATTTAATTCAGCAGATGGCGTCACAGTAAAATGTAATTTATGTCACGTTACTATGTTAATAAAAATTTACAATATAGCATTAGTTTTAACATCCATGTGCTGATAGAGCTTATGTGATACTATAGAACTTGCACAAAGTATTTCTGTCAATTTAAATGGGAAATAATCTGGGACTGTCTTGAGATAACATAATATAATGATAAAAACCTTACCTTAGCTGTTTTAAGCTTTTGATCACTCAGCTGTAGGTTTACCAGTCCTAAGTGTCCACAGACAAAACATTCATAGCTTTGGACTTAGAAAGTTGTGAAAACTTTTTAATATAATAAGCCTGAGTTGTGTCTTCCAGGGTTTTGTTATGCCTTTGGGATAGTTTTATTTCACATTTTGAAGTTTTTATTCAAAGGCATAAGGACTATAAATGAATTGTGACTTTCTTGATAAAAATTAAATGTATACATTAGGTAAAATTTTAACCAAAAATTCAACCTCATCTGAATTTCATTTACTACAATTTTGATGTTGTTCGTTTTGATAGCTTTGGATTCCATTTTTAAAGTAAGAAAACCAAAATAATCTGAGCATCATAGCATCAAGACCCTCCAAAACCCAGCACTTCCAGATAGATGTTCAGTTTCAAGAGAAGTCTGTGCTTCAGCCTGTGATCTCCGTCTGCCTTTGTGGAGGCAATATCAGGGCAATATCAAGAAACACACAACATTTGGCTGCTTTGCACCTGTGTGAGGTGGATGTGTGTCCCATCAGCGCTCCCCCCTGAGCCTTCAGACCTTGTGTTTCTGCAACCTTGGCTCCGAACAGGGCGCGTATGAAAGTGTTTGGAGTCCAGGAAAATTGTGATGCCATCAAACCTGCCCAGAGATGCTGGATGGGGCAGTTTTGTCGCAGGTGGGAGAGCACCAGGGCAAGAGCTAGATGTGACTGTGGGAGACGGAGAGGCCCTGCAGTCGCTGCACTGCAGGAAATTGGAAAATAAACAAGAAAGATTATTGCAGAGTATTGCAGGTGTGAGCGATGTGGTTGAGTGGCACTAGCAAAAGAACGTGAAGTAGAAAGCAAAAGGCTGCTGTTTAGTTTCCCCGTATAAATGATGTCTTGTAATCTTTGATTCTGTGGGCAGATATACCTGACAGTGTTTCATGAATAATTTATTTTGCAGCTAAGCACTGTAAAGGACTGCAGACCTCACCAGATAAAACAGCTGTATAGCACTTCTCTCAGGCTGTTCTTCAACACACCTGTCCTTGCTGACGTCATCTTCAAAATACAAGGTACGGGACTGCCGCTCCTCTGGCATCCGCCCACTCTGCAGGAGGGTGGGAGACGGAGATCGTATTTCCTCTGCATCGAAACTAAGGAAATGCATACTCTTTGCTATCACTGTGGAAAGGATTTTTTTTGCTGGGAAGTAGCACCTGCCTCTACGGATGCTTTACAGCAGTGTCCACTCGCAACGTGGTCCATCAGAGCAGAGCCCATCCGAATGCCTTCTGCCTGTCCAGCAGCTTTGTGCCTCTCTGGTTGACACGCAGCCCTCGGAGGCTTGGAAATGAGGGATGTGTTGCAGGAAAGGCTCTGAGGCAGCAAGGCTAAACCAGGGATTGTGTCACAGAGGACGGTGCTTTTATTTTAAAACTTACTTATCTTGCTCATGTTCCCACCTTCAAAAGCAATGGGATGTGTCTGAAGGTTCTGCCCAGTGTCAGACCTCGGAGAGGTGTGGACTCAGGATGCTGTGTCTGCTTGTTGCCCTTGGTGAAAAGACCAGAGGTGCTGGTTGTTGACCCCTGGCCACCTTCCCTCTGTCCATCTCGTCCATCTCAGGCTGGTGTTGGCTGTGGATATACCTTTCTCTATCCTGCAGAAGGTGACAGGGACTTATGTCCCAATCCTGCACCTTCTTGGGCTTTATTCGCTGCCCTTCTTTCCCCAGTGTGGACATCCCTAGAAATAAACATAGATGTACTGACCCTCCCCTGCAGTACTGCATACAGCTCCGGGGTCCCCAACATCAGAAGGACATGGAGCTGTTGGAGTGGGTTCAGAGGATGCCATGAGGATGATGCGAGGGCTGGAGCATCTCTACTATGGAGACAGCTTGAGAGAGTTGGGGCTGTTCAGCCTGGAGAAGAGAAGCCAACTTCCAGCAGCCTTCCACTACCTAAAGGGGCTACAAGAAAGCTGGAGAGGGGCTTTGAACAAGGGAGTGTAGTGACAGGACAAGGGGCAATGGCCTTAAACTGCAAGAGGGGAGATTTAGATGATATCTAAGGAAGAAATTCTTCCCTCTGAGGGTGGGGAGGCACTGGAGCAGGTTGCTCAGAAAAGCTGTGGATGCCCTATCCCTGGAAGAGTTTGAGGCCGGGTTGGATGAGGCTTTGAGCAACCTGGTGTAGTGGAGGGTGTCCCTACCCATGGCAGGGGGCTTCGAACTGGGTGATCTTGAAGGTGCCTTCTAACCCAAACCGTTCTATGATTCTGTGTGCTGGGGTTTCAATGACCTGCTAATCTAGGTGCCATCAACACCTGCTCTGTTCTACTGCCCTTCTAGATGTTCCTGTACCAATCTTCATGTTTTTGACACAAGTCTCTGCAACTTCTTTATGATAGGTCACTCCTTATGAAAACAACCTTCAGCCTTGCAGGTGCTTATGTTAGACCTGCCTATTGCTTAGCCCTACAAGTGTGAAAAGTAACATGTAAATTATTGAGTTTTCGGAAAAAAAATAAAGTCTATTGAGATGCTGGTAATTATCTAGTCCTCTTTGTGGCCAGATTAAAAAGATGTGGGAGCGCAGAGGCTGGCTTCCCATGCTGGCTTGTCGGTAACAGGTTGTTGTTGGTATTCCATGGGTCTGCTCACAAAGATGCCGAGTGCTCCTTGGCAGAGGCACGGGCAGGAGCTGCGCCAGCGAAACCATCTTCTGTTCCCATTTTATCTGCAAAGAACATGCTTGGGTGCACCGATATGCTGCAGCATTACGGGGGATTTTTTCTGGAAATTAAATGCATTCACCCTTAGAAATGAAAACACAGGAGGGGAGAAAGTGTTGCATGGTTTTGTGAGAATGAGAATGAGACAGTTTTTGAATGCTAATGATTTTCTGGATGTGAGCACACCCACCCTTTGTGCAGAAATGGTCTTTGAGGATTAGACAATTGTTTAACTATTTTCAGCTTTAAATCTCAGAGCTGGGTATGAAACATTATTCCTTCAAAAGGAAGTATATGAGGACAAGCAAATTCTTTCTAGATGTTCTGTATAACATGCAGAAAAAAACCCAAAAAGATCTTTGAAAATTAGAACAAAATTCTGATGCTGAGTTTAATGACACGAACAATTCTTCTCTGTATCCCACTCCAGAGAGAGGCTTTGTGGGAAGTTGATGAAACCGTATCATCGCTATACATTTCACAGAAAAGAAGTTACTGTTGAATGGGTTGACATTTATTTAAAAAAAAAAGTGTCCTTACCCAGTAACAAAATGGGAACTGTTTTTCCTTATGCTTGGTAAATCTTCCAAGTCTTTTCCCCTAGTTCATCAGCCAAAATAATTGTATTAAAATCAAATAATTGCTAAGAGAAACTGAAAGCTCTAGTCTTAACTGGACAAATAAATTTTTAAGTCTTCAACTAATTCCTTGAGCACTGGGAGTTGCTTTCTAGCTTGCCAAAGTGGGAGCCATTGAAAATGGGAGCCCATTATGTCCGTGTAAAGACTTATAACGTGACTGAACCTCCTAATTAGCAGGTGAATAGCTAATTGCTTGCATGTACAAAAATACATGCATATCTTACATCATGTCTGCATCAGGTATTGCTCATGTCACGTGTGTAAATATTTAATAAAATTTACATGTGTTCTCTCTATGTAGAAATATATACACTTTTTGTATGCAGCTTAAGACAATTTGGAAGTCAAAGCACAGGTAAATAGAAATAGCACAAAGATGAGAAAGTGCCAGATGTCTTCAAGAAATTAAGTAGGTGGGAGGGTTTGTCATTAAGGAGGAAATTAGGACAGTAACTTCTATACAAGTATTTACAGTATATTTATTTTGTATGTCACTTGGTCTGTTTATTATAATTTTAATTGAATCATTTACATCCAAATGTAAGCTCTCCTTCTGTCTCTGGTTGTTGTCCTGTCTGGCACTCATTTGGCACTTTCCTGTACACTGGACTGTCTGGTTCAGCCAGACTCTGGAGGATTCCGAGTGTTGGGCTGGCGGCTCAGGCTGTCAACATTTTCATTAAGAGCCTGTAAGACCTCTACCACCCTGGGCTGTTAACCTTACTGGGTCTTCCAAGTGCTGTAGTATAGTAAATGATCCATTTACAAATACGAAAAAATGGAGAAATTTCTGGAAAAAATTTATTGGCATTATTTTCATAAGGCAACAATCAAAAAATTCGCTTGGGCAAAATACTTAATCTGGTTAAATCCATACTTACTTAATGGATTTAATGGAATTTCATCTGGGATAATTTGCCTTTCTCTGCTTCGTGTGGTTATGTGAGTGTTTGGCTTCTGGAACACACAATCATCACCAATGGGATTACTGATGAACACGAATTACTGATTTGCATAATAACTCACATAGAATCATAGAATAGTTAGGGTTGGAAGGGACCTCAAAGATCATCTAGTTCCAAGCCTCCTGCCATAGGCAGGGACACCCTCCACTACACCAGGTTGCCCAAAGCCTCATCCAACCTGACCTTGAACACCTCCAGGGATGGGGCATCCACAACTTCTCTGGGAAACCTCTTCCAGTACCTCACCACCCTCAATGTTAAGAATTTCTTTCTTATATCTAACCTAAATCTGCCCTCTTTCAGTTTAAAGCCATTGCCCTCTGTCCTATCACTACACGCCCTTGTAAAAAATCCCTCTCCAGCTTTCCTGTAGGCCCCCTTTAGGTACTGGAAGGCTGCTATAAGATCGCCCCGGAGCCTTCTCTTCTCCAGGCTGAACAGCCCCAACTCTCTCAGCCTGTTTTCATAGCAGAGGTGCTAAGACATCACTGCATATTTGTGCAATGGGCCTGAAAGGGGTTGAAAACCTGTTTCTGACTGATGAAAGTTTACTCTGTTTGGAGCACCTGGTGTTGGGAGCAGGTCGTCGTAACAAATCTGGTATTTCTTATTGTTTGCTGATGGCTGCTGGGTGGATGTAAACATCATGACTGGTATAAAAGTGTGTTGTTGGTAATCTATCGGATATTGTTAATTCTGAACACTTTTGTCTTGTTCCGTGAAGTGAAGGCCTTCTAAGAAAACATGAGCTGTAAAATCAAGATCTTTCTATGCATGTAAAATCATCACAGATATTTATCTTGCATCCCGCAGGTGCAACTGTACCAGCCCACAGAGCAGTTCTGGTAGCTCGCTGTGAGGTAATGGCAGCTATGTTTAATGGTAATTATCTAGAAGCAAATAGTATTCTGGTTCCAGTGTACGGGGTTTCCAAAGACACTTTCCTCTCCTTTCTAGAGTACCTTTATACCGACTCCTGCTGCCCAGGTAAGAAAATTTAAAAATACACGTGTACCTGTTACTCGGTTTTCCACATTGCGTCATTGATAGTTATGTAGCAGCATTTCTTTCATTGAAAAACGCCAATATTTTAATTTATGATGTCTCAAAAAAGAGAATTTGTTCATATTGTGCAATAAAGAAAGAAATCAGTCTTTTGCAAATAATAAAATGCTGTATTTGTTTTGTGCTTGCATAGCAATACTCCAAAAACTGTGAAATTTCCTTTCTGGTTCTTTACAATATGTGGAATTTTCTTTCTCCATCACAATAACACTGCTTTCTAATCTTATTAGAAATCTTAGTATCTAAATTCTGATTTTAAATTAGTCATTATGTTTAGCATATATTTTGTTCAGTTTAGTATAAATGAGGTGAAATTGCAAGAATGCCTTATTTATACACATGGATGTCTTATTTGTATATAAAAGTAGAAAAAAGTTTAACTGGAGTATTTGGCAAGAAAAAATGAGCTCAAGTATTCTTTGTGTCTTAACCTTTGTCTTTCTTAAAGACGATCTACATACTCAATATGAAATATTGTATAAATGCAGATAATTTTCCGTTGATGTAATGAATGAATGATGTTGTGATATGTATTTTTGCTTTTGTTTTCTTTTCAAATAATTCTACCTTATTCTTAAGTTTTCCAAATGTTTCTCTTTTCAGTTCATCTAACATTTCCTTATCCGTCAGTCTAAATATGCAACCACCATACTATATTTTTTTCAAAAACATGGTGGCTCCATTTTCTTTTTGGCCTTTTTGCTATATTTTCTTGTACGCGTATCTTTTTGAAAGAGAGATTAGAAAGCTAAATTCTTTTATTAATGGTCACTTACTTTAAATAGACCAGAAGTACTCGACTCAGCATCTTCAAGATACAGGATATTGACAACAATTTATTTCACTTACCTTCTAAAAAGTACTAACTGCTTTTTCATGTTAATTAAATAGTTTATCTGGAAAAAGAGGGTGGTGTAGCAAATTTATAATGATAATAATGAAAAACACAAAAAGATGATCAACAGTAGTTTGATTTTGCATTTATTTTAAGGTGTTTAAAAGATGACATGGTGAAAAGTGGCTTTGATCATCTTGTCAAAAAAGTAAAACACATGTAACTTATGTTTTCTTGTTTTTCAGCCAGTATTCTCCAAGCTATGTCTCTCTTGATCTGTGCAGAGATGTACCAAGTAATGAGGCTCCAGCATATTTGTGAGCTTTACATTATCACGCAGCTTCAGAGCATGCCTAGCAGGGAACTGGCGTCCACAAGTCTCAGTATTGTTAGCTTGCTCAAAAAAGCTAAGGTATGTGTTGTGTATGTCAAAGAATAATGTGTATGTTGACTCTAATTAGCAGGTTTTTGTCTGTTTTTAAAATGTAATTGTTAAGATTTTTAAGATCTTAATAATTTCCGTTTCCAAGGACAAACATTGATAGACAATCTGTTGATTAGGTGTATCTGGTGGCACAAGGCTGGCTAAAATAAAGCCGTCATGGTTTAACCCTTGCAGGCAACTCAGCCCCACCCAGCTGCTCGATGGGATGGGATGGGATGGGATGGGATGGGATGGGATGGGATGGGGGGAGAAGAAAATCGGAAGGGTAAAAGTGAGAAAACTCATGGGTTGAGATAAAGACAGTTTAATAGGTAAAGCAAAAGCCATGTGCACAGCAAAGCAAACCAAGGAATTCCTTCACCCTTTCCCATGGGCGGGCAGGTGTTCACCATCCGCAGTACAGCAGGGCTCCATCACATGGAACAGTGACTTGGGAACACAAACACCATCACTCCGAACATCCCCCCCTTCCTTCTTCCCCAGCTTTATATGCTGAGCATGACATCGTAGAATCATGGAACCATTTAGGTTGGAAAAGACCTTGAAGATTATTGAGTCCAACTGTTAACCCAACACTGCCACATCCACCACTAAATCACGTTCCTAAGCCCTACGTCTACATATGGTCTGGGATACCCCTTGGGCCAGCTGGGGTCAGCCATCCCAGCCGTGTCCCTTCCCGACAACCTGGGCACCCCCAGCCCCCTCGCTGGCGGGGCAGGACAAGAAGCAGAAAAGGCCGTGACGCTGCGGAAGTGCGGCTCAGCAATAACGAAAACATCTCTGCGTTACCAACGATGATTCCAGCACCAATCCAAAGCGCAGCCCCGTGCCAGCTCCTGGGAAGAAAATTAACCCTGCCCCAGCCCCAACCAGCACAAAAGCCTGCTTCAGCCTCTTGCTGAACAATGTGCAGTCACACCACAATCTGTGTGATTTCGTTCCTCAAGGACACATCGCAGTAATTCCACTTAATTGCAACTTGTGCCAGAAAAGATGTATTTTAGGCAGGTGAAGATGCACTACTTTCTTTTTTAGTCGAAAGGAAAATTATATGATATACAAGTGACAAAGAAGATGTAATCTGACAGAATATTGAGTGAAATACATAAAAAGCACGATTAGAGGCTGAAAAAAAGAGAGAAAGAGACAGTAAAGACAAAATAGGAAAATAAAAACTGAATTGAGACAGTAAAGACAAAATAGGAAAATAAAAACTGAATTGTGTACAAGTCTCAGGCAGGATATTGACTTAAATGAAGAGGATTTTGTGGAGAAAGAGGAGACAACAAAACCAACGTGCCACACTCCTTACCTTCCTCTTTCTCAAGCTCTGCTATGATGCGGAAGACAAAAATTTCCAAGATTCATGACCAAAGAAGCCCCAGGGGTTATGTCTTTGGGGGAGGGAGTTTTGTCATTAGTTCTTGGGCCTTCCTCTATTTACATATTTTCAGCAATGACTTTTCCTTTGTTATCTCCTACAATCAAAACTTTATTTAATAAATTTCTGTGTTGACAGTGGTAATCTGAAATATTTTGACATGTGAGGCGTGGTTGTGTTTTAGACATGATAGCATTAAGTGTTGCGTTTCCTTTCTTCTCACAGTTTCACAATTCTGATTGCCTTTCAACTTGGCTTCTTCATTTTATTGCCACTAACTACCTCATCTTCAGTCAAAAGCCTGAATTTCAAGATCTTTCAGGTAATTTATCAATTACTTTTAAAACAGGAAGTGTTTTCAGTTCTGCTTAGACCAAAAGCGAGGTACTGGACAATACTATTTCTGCATGAGAGGAGTATTAGGACTTCTTTAGGCTACACAGTCCAGTCAACCCCAGAGTCTGTCTGAGCTGGATGGTTCACCACCCTGCTGTGGAACCAGCATATGACACATGAAGAGCAGCATAGCCAGCAATAGCATCCCTGTGTCTTTTGGTTGCTGTACTGATGGCCAGGTTCCCACCTATAACTGAATCGACTGGGACAGTTTGGTCATCATATGCCACCCTCTCCACCTTATGTATTTGATTTTGTTTAGTTCATACATTTGAACCAAGGTAATGAGTCACTTACAATACCTGCTCTTTAAGGGCTGGGGTTTTCTTTGATAGGATTCTTACAATACTCTCCAGTAGATCTCACGAAATCAAATAACTAATGTCCATTCACGTAAATAAACCCAGGCTCTTTCGAATACTATATTTGTTCCCTGATACGTAACTCTCAAAAGTTTTGCTCATTGCCTACATGATTTTTCATCACCCTGATGAAGTTTATCTTGATGAGTGCATCTCTTTGGCCTGTGGTTCCTGTTCAGACCATTGGAATGGGGCCAGTGTCTTCCAGAAGGGGATTTTTTTTATCAGTGAGCTGAAGCTCTGTTTGGTCTGAAATACATTAAAGGTCCTCTTTCCTCCTCTGCAAGGCTTGTATATTTATGTGTGATGATGGATGACTTTGTAATCGTTATGAGCAAAGGAAGGAGAGCTAGGTCCTCTCCGCCTTGTTTGGACCTGGAATTTATCTTCCAGCAGCCCACCTGGTCATTTTCTGAAATATCCATTTTGTATAGCGAGATCTGGATTGAACAAGGCAGTGTAGGACACCTGTGCTGGCAGGTGTCACTCACCAGTGGGTTTGGTCCGCAATGGACTTGCTTTGCTTTCCTTCCTGCTAGTTCCGGTGACAGGCTGTGTTTGAAGGCACTTTGTGGTATCTTCCTCGCTACAGGACTTCGGTCTCAACCACTCTGAAGTTCTCCTGAAGCTGCAGGAATCAGGTTATCCTTCCCATTTGGTGAAGGTGGGAACTGCTTCTGGCTTCCCCTTGGTGAGGCAGGAGAGCACAGAGACCCTTCTGACTTGGGGTCACTGCAGGGCTCAATCTAGGCACATCTACTTACCCAGTTCCCGGTTCCCCAGTGGGATATCAATTTATCAAAATAGAATCACAGAATCACAGAACGGTTAGGGTTGGAAGGGACCTCAAAGATCATCTAGTTCCAACCCCCCTGCCGTGGGCAGGAAAACCCTCCACTACACCAGGTTGCTCAAAGCCTCCAAAGCCTAACCCACCCTTGTGTTGAACCCCCCAAGGGAGGGGCCAGCCACAACCTCTCTGGGTGTGCTGGTTTTAGCTGGGACAGAGTCAGCTCTTCTTTTTAGCAGCTAGAAGAGCTCCGTGTTTTGGTTTTACTCAGAGGCTCACTCTGAGAAGAATGTTGATAGCAAGTTGATGTTTGTGGTTGGATGTGAGACTCCAAGGACTTTTCAGTGTGCCGGAGTGCAGAAGCACGGCGGGATAAGGGGGGAGCATAGCTGGGACAAGGGGGACACGATTCCCCTTGTGATTTGTGGTGGAACTTAAGACTGAGGGCCAAACTGGCCAATTAGTATTCCATATCATGCAGCGTCATGCCCAGTATAAAGGTGAGGGACAGCCGGACAGAAGGGCTTTTGCACTTTGGCTCCTTCGTCGCTTTTGCTCTTTTGCGCTTGCTGCGCTTTTGCTCTATTGCTTTTTTTTCCCCTCTCTCTGCCAGTACTCCCACTCTCGGAGTGCTATCTTTCTCTGCCCCTCTCTATTTCGGGGCCTCGCATTCGTCCGGGATTGCAGCTTCGGGACGAGACGGGCTTCACATACGAGGGGGTGGTGAGCTTCTACACTGTCTATTAAATCCTCTGTATTAAATTGTTCTTATCTCAACTCACGGGTTTCCTGTTTATCCTTTAATTCTCTCCCTCATCCCTGGGGCTGGGAGAGGGTGAGTCAACAACTGGGGGGGGCGGTTTGTTTGCCGGAGCGGCCTAACCCACAACACTGGGAAACCTCTTCCAGTGCCTCACCACCCTCAGAGGGAAGAGTTTCTTCCTTAGATCTCATCTAAATCTCCCCTCTTTGAGGTTAAAGCCATTGCCCCTTGTCCTGTCACTATACTCCCTTTTCCAAAGTCCCTCTCCAGCTTTCTTGTAGCCCCTTTAGGTACCGGAAGGCTGCTAGAAGGTCTCCCCAGAGCTTTCTCTTCTCTAGGCTGAACAGCCTCAACTCTTTCAGCCTGTCTCCATAGGAGAGGTGCTCCAGCCCTCAGATCATCTTCGTGGCCCTCCTCTGGACCCGCTCCAGCAGCTCCCCATCCTTCTTGTGTTGGGGACTCCAGAGCTGAATGCAGCACTGCAGGGGGGTGTCATGAGAGCAGAGTAGAGGGGACAAGAGCAGAATAGCTTATTAATTACTTTTTTTTTCTGCTGGGGAAAGTAATAATAATAGTGCCTCTGTCTCCAAGTTGTAGATATCCTGATGGACATCAGGCTGCATGTGAGCCTGTCATGAAACTTATTCAGCGATGCTTCTGATAAGCATCACTTACTGATATTTGTGAGCACGTGCTCTGACAGTGCCTGAGTAACTTGGGGATGGACTGTACGATATTCCCACACCAAATGCTTGCCATGCCAACACCTGTAGTTTTCTCCATGCTCCCACCACTCGTGGAGCATCCAGGGCTGATGCAGAGCAGTACTAAAGCTGTTGGCTGTGTTGGCTGTTGGAGGGGTTTTTTCTGGTACCAGCCTGGCTGTTGGCTCAGAGGAAAAGTGCATCACACCAGTGGACTGGTATCCCTTGAGATTCGGTGTTCACACGCCTGGCAGCCTTCTGCTTTTCTCCTTCGTCCAAGTGCTGTCCCCATGATTCACCGAGGGGTCAGCACGCACTGCTGCGTCAAGCTTGCTCCAAGACAACCAGAGGAAAGAAATAGGAGTGCATAAGTAAATAGAGGTGGATGAGTGAAAGCATTCTGATCTGGTTTGCGCAGGCGCAAACACTCACAGGCATGTTCCAACGGGGAGCACGCTTCCCAGGACACCGACAGATGTGGACAGTTGACCTTTTTTGCTCAGGACACCATAATACAGCATGAGCTGAAGGTTCAGGCGAACGATGCAGCGCGGGGCAGTGGCTCTCCGGGGATTTCCTGACGGCTGGAATCTTATCTGCCAGCCCTGTGTGTTGCATGACGCTGCCTGCTGCCCGTTATTACAGCTGTTTCCCTGACCTCAGCCCTCCCGAGCCCCAGGTCTCTCTGCTGCGACTTGGTCTTTGTCCAGGTTGGTCTGAGCCCCTAAAGGACCACAACCGCTGCTGCAGGCTGGCTCCAGAAAACCTGGGGTAAGGGGATGAAGATGTATATTTCTGCCACGGCAGAGGGGGTTCATCTAAGTAATATGGCTAAAATCTCCGTTACATGATTTCATCGTTGACAAAAAGCACGTGCAATGAAAGAAAAAAGTCTTGTTGAACTCCTAATTTCTTTCTTTACCTTGCTTTTTTCGTGATGATCTTGAGACAAACTATTGGCATAGGGAATGAAACACTCTCCTTTATGGTGTTGTGGCATAGAAAAACCCTTGTGTTTGATTATCAAATCTGATTATCTTCTGAGGAAAAAGAATATTCATCTTTAGGATAATCTCTCCGCTCTGTTTAATGAGTATTGTATTTATTTTGTTAAGTAATATTTATTTCTAACGTAATAGCAAGCAGGAATCGTGTGGCAAGTCTCGTGTGCATTACAGTGAGATCAAGGCAAAATGGTCAGCACTCATCTTTACTTTTCTAGTTGTATTTATAGCCTTAATGTCCTCGAACCTGTTTTAAAAGACTTCTTGCAGCCTGTGCACTTGTGCTGTGTGTTTGGGTGTTACCCTTAATTCCTTCGTTGCTTCGTTTAGTGGAGGAGCGCGATTTCGTGGAGACGCACAGGTGGCCTTCTGAGTTGTACCTGAAGCAGCTCGCTGACTACAGGAGCTACGTCCACTCTCAGAAATGCCACTGCGCAGTAATGTGAGGAGATGGAGCACGCGCGACGTGCATCTCGACAGGGAAGTCTCAGACTGGGAATTATACGGAGGGTAAAGGTCAAGTCAAGAGCAAAACCAGATACTGATCTCCCCTGGGACACTGCATGCCACGCTGCAGTGCTCTTACTAATATTCTTTGCTTCGATAATAAACCACTCTACTTTTTTTCTTAAAGCATTGAGAAATGTATCATGAAGGTGTATTTCTAGCACAGGGATTTCACACCTATGCGGATTAAACATAATACGGAACACTGTCATGACTGTCATCTGTTGCCTTTTCTAATTTCTTTTTTGGTTGTTTTGTTTGTTTTCAGGGTTATATTTAGCTGCTAAAGTGGCATCTGTTGAAAACTAATTTTTTTTTTGTAAATCTGCGCAAAATAGGAGCACAGTACCAGTACAGGGAAGCTGAGAAGCCGACTCATAAGTTCCTTAACTAGTTCAGAAAGCAAAAAATTTACTGCAGTGTATGGTGGTTTGAAAAACAAAGGGTAGATTTAATAAGCATTTCAGTAACTATTCCTTTTCTACTTCGTTAAGTCTGTAGTTCCTTTTACTGAGACTCTTGCGTTTGTATGAGTCAATATTTTGATTCCAGAGAAATGCCTGTGCACAACTGTATTGTTCAGTGCCTTCCAAAAATCTGAAAATTGAAACAATTATTCCTCCCAGAAAATGGGAGAAAAAAGTCTGTTTTAATAATCTGTTGAACACCTTGGTTAGAGTGATCATATTGTATTTTTCCCCATGAGGAAGGAAGTCAGGGAGAAATAGGTCTGCTCAGAGCATATCCAAATGGTATTGGCAGAGACTGGGAGGGAAGGGAAGGGGGTCAACACCCTTTCGTAGGTTTAGTGGGAGAAAATTCACTGACACCAGTGACTTTTTGGGGAAAAGTGGGTCTTGTAATCCTAGGTACACCCTGACAGCACAAATGTTAGATGTTCTGGTTGTGAAGGGAGGTGACTCTCATGGGTACACCAGTCCTATGAGGAACGTCAGCTCTTGTGACAGGACTTTGAGCTCGACCCTCCCTGGTGGGGATTCAGTGTAAATTGAGTTATTGTCACATACTTATAAGGTACGCTGTGCCAGACAAACCTGGTTATATTTTCTGGCTGCGTGGATTCTTTCTCAGATATAGCAGAGAAATCCTGGATATTATGAATAGGACAACCCTTGCAGACGCTATTGAGAGTTCTCTTGACCTAAATCATCCATTTGCCGTTCCACTAACTTGTATGTATGTTGTAATATTAATGACAAAATCAACCCAATCTATATATAAGGGTATCTACCTGAACATAGGTACTTCTTTGTAAGTGAGATCTTTCCAAAGAAGTAAACCCTTCGTTATCAGTCTTGTCATATTTTTAATTCTGCTTTGCCAGCTGCCTTTAATTTTGGTATGTAGTCTGTGTCTAGAAAGACAAAGAAAAGACATTGAAAAATTATTTATGGGTTCCCCAATGTTCACAGCAGACCGTCTCAAAAGTACCTGAAAACTGCAGCTGTGAGATGAAGACAGAACATCAAATTGCTGGAGCTGAATCGTTTTTTTACTGATGAGAAATGCTTTTATATTTCATTATCATTTTATAGATTAATTGTTCTTTTCAAATTCCATGCTGGAGTCACAAGGATTTTATTTTTTGGTTTTGATGACATTTTGCAGAGGTGGAGAGGGTATTTCCTCTCCTATTTATGGACACACACACACACAAAAAAAAAAAAAGAACTTGTGACTCATCTGGCTGCTGCAGGCTCAAAATTCTGGTGTTAGTTTTATGTAAGAAAGAGAATTCATTCTTATTTTTAACTTTTCATATTGTGATCCTGAAGTTCTTTGAAAGATGAGATACTCTTATCTACATCTCACATACAAGGTGGCTGAAATATAGAGCATTACATTGCTTTTTCAAGATCACTAAAGAAAACTGAAAACATTGAAGAAAAAAATTAGTAGGAAAGTAATATGTATTGAACTTAGAAGAAAAGGATATTTCTTATCGTAGTAGAAAATAAAAAATCTAAGCATAAGTTAACTGGACAGATGCACATAAAACTTAGGCTTTTTTGAAGCATAAAGTCATGAACAAAAATGAGAATACAGCTGAACTGCAGCTTGCCTGGACACCTGATAGCATCCTCAGTCACAGCACGTGCTTCTACCGGCAGCCAGTGCAATTGTCAAAAGTACGGACTAGATGCCTCATACTGACTTCTTATGTAAAACTGATTTGTGTGAACGTTTGTCTGCATTGTATGTAGTCCATATGTTTTTAATATTATTTTTTGCTAAAAGTTAGCGTGTTGCCAATAATTTAAGTATAGATAACAGATAACAAAATACTATTTTTAACTTTCTGTAAATGTTTTATAGGCATTTAAATATAGGCCTAATGGAAATACAAACACTTTATATCCAACCAAGAGAAATATTTTGCTATTACACATTTTAGTCAGTGCTAACCACAGATTTTTTACAAAGAAGTCAGGCAGTGTAAAAGTATGTATTATTTATTCACAGATTGATGCATACTTCTATTCAAACATCTTTCCATTTTACTGAATATCCCCATATTGATGCCTGTACCAGGTGCAGATGTGCTGTCTTTGCAGACATAGACCATCTGATAAATTTAAATCCTTAAAAGAATTTTATTTTTCTGTAAATTCTCACTTTTATTCTGCATGATGATTTTCTGTAGAAATGTATTTATCTTAAAGGTATTTTTAAAACTGATACTTCAGCATTGAGAATTGTGACTGAGAGTAGACCATGATGTTTGGTGAGTTGCAGTCGGTAATTTTCTTTAGTGGAGGCTTTAGGACCATATCCATCATGGTTAGTCAGGAATTAGGGTATGGCTGAGTTTGGTATTGATGAATAACTTTGTATAGTATAAAATAAAAATTGCTAAACCGTGACACCAGTGTCTCCCAAACTCCCAGGGCATCGGCAGCCTTGGAGGTCACAGCAGGAGGCTGGTGGAGAATTCAGGTGACCTTAGACAGATCTTAGAGGGTTTGGGATTACAGTTTCAGACTCAAGTTTAAATGACGTTTCAACTCGAGAGTCCTTCATTAGCGCCAACTCTCAAAATATACTTTTAGAGGAGAATTTTTTGAATGATAGATTGCACAGTGTAGTTCTTGCGGTACCGATACGTTGTCCCAAGTGAGCACTACGCTTTATGAAGACTGACAAAGAAAGCTTTCTGCACTAATAGTGTTTTCCACATGACAGCTAAAAAACCACTGCTATCGTCCTTTAGGTCTTGGTGTACCTGATTTGAAAAAAACTGTTAGAGGAAAAAAAAGCTGTTTTTCTAACCCCTGTGTGTTTTTCTTTTAATATACCCTGACTAACTGTACTTGGTTTTAGATTGAATATATAAAATTTTGTTACAAAATAAAAAATTATCTCTAGTCAATCTCATGTGATTATTTACCCATCTGCATTAGAAGATTTGACCGTTAATGCTGGAAATATTTTTTTGTAGCTTGTTACTGGAATCACAGAATCATAGAACAGTTTGGGTTGGAAGAGACCTTGAAGATCATCTAGTTCCACGCCCCCCTCCATGGACAGGGACACCTTCCCCTAAATTCTGAAATAAACACGTGAGAATTTAGTTCTTTGCCTTGTTGTTTGCTGCAAGTAATCCTGGACATCCTGCAACCCATAATATTAAACCCTTGCAGGCTTCCAAGCACCAAGTTATATTTCTTGTACGAGGGCAGCCTGCGTTCCTCGGCAGGGTTACTTTGTTGTCCCTGACTTTGCTCTTTATGCACTGGGGCCAGTGCTATTTAACATCTTTGTTGGCAACATGGACAGTGGGATCAAGTGCACCCTCAACAAGTTTGCAGATGACACCAAAATGTGTGGTGTTGTGGACACGCTGGAGGGAAGGGATGCCATCCAGAGGGACCTGGACAGGCTGGAGAGATGGGCCCATGAGAACCTCATGAAGTTCGACAAGGCCAAGTGCAAGGTCCTGCACATGGGTCGGGGCAATCCCAAGCGCAAGTACAGGCTGGGTGGAGAATGGATTGAGAGCAGCCCTGAGGAGAAGGACTTGGAGGTGTTGGTGGATGAGAAGCTCAACATGAGCTGGCAACGTGCGCTGGCAGCCCAGAAAGCCAACCATATCCTGGGCTGCATCCAAAGCAGCGTGGGCAGCAGGTCGAGGGAGGAGATTCTGCCCCTCTACTCTGCTCTTGTGAGACCCCACCTGCAGTGCTGCATTCAGCTCTGGGATCCCCAACATCAGAAGGACATGGAGCTGTTGGAGCAGGTCCAGAGGAGGCCAAGAAGATCGTGCAAGGGCTGGAGCCCCTCTGCTATGGAGACAGGCTGAGAGAGTTGGGGCTGTTCAGCCCGGAGAAGAGAAGGCTCCAGGGAGACCTTCCAGCAGCCTTCCAGTACCTAAAGGTCTCGGCCCTGGTCCATGGGGTTCGGGGTGCCCCATCCCTCTCTGGTCCATAAACTTTGAACATTGGATGTGTTCTGACCATGTCCTGGCCCTTACCTATGGTGTTTGGGGCACCCTGCCCCTGTCTGGTTTAGGACCTTGTTTCGATGTGAACATTTCCTGACCGTGTCCTGGCCCTGGCCCATGGGGTTTGGCATGCTGTATCCCCCTCTCTTTTTCATTACCTTTGGGGTTTGGTGGTGTCCTGCTTTTGTCCTGGACCTGACCCACCATGTTTAGGGCAGTTTTTCCCTTTCTGATCCATGGCCTATTGGGTTTTTTTAGTGTACTGCCTGAGTTCTGCCCTGACCCTTTGGATTTTGGGTGCCTTGTCTCTCTCTGGTCCAGGAGCTGATCATTTTTTGTGTGTCCTCCCGTATCGTGGCCTCCACCGGTGGGGTTTGGGGCACCCTTTCCCTGTCTGGTCTGTGACCCGTGGGGTTCATGGATGTCCTTCCCCTGTCCTGG